TGTTTTGATTACGAGAGCCACAGTTGAATAATCTGTGTTAATTAGTTTAATTAATTAATGTTAAACAAAAAATCATCTGCACGCCTTTTTGAGCAGTCTCATCATAATTACCATAATCCAAATTAATTGCTCAATTAAATCATAAATCACTTTCTACATTGACCACTCATGCTCCCCTACAAAAGAAAATTTATAACCGATTTATTAATTTATAAGAGTATGTCTGTTGAAAGAGTTTTTTTTCCCTTGAAATAATAAAAGAAGTTGGTAAATTATTATTTCCTACATCCGTACTAAAAAAATTCACTGTAACCAAATTAACTTAGTTTAACATCCAACATTTTTTTATCGATAACTTTTTGAGATTTTTTTTTGCTTGAAAAGGGAATATTAAATAGATTAAAAGATAAGTTTACCAATTTTTTGAGTGAACGGAAAATGATTCACGAACAATGTGTTTTGTTGGTATTTTTCTTTAGCACGCTGCTGAATTATTTCAAGTGTCCATCGATAGGATTTATAATGAATTGAATGTTGGGGTTGCGGTAGATCTCGTTCCACAATATTTCTAATATTATGGAGTAGTTTATTGAAACACCAAACTTTTTTTTAGTAGAAGTAAATGAACTTTATAGTATAATTAAATAAATAGTATCATAATTAATGTGAACTATCGTTTTTAGTTTTGGTTGCTCATAAAATATTTAATTATAATATGATAAGCGGTCACACATGTTTCCTTATTGGGGCCATGATTATATCTACCCGTGCCCTAAGGCCAAAATTGCTGCACATCGTTAATTTATCATCATGACATGGACATGGACATGGACATGCATTTTCCATCATCATATGTACATGCATGGGTTTTCGTCACACGTGGACATCATTTAGTTAGTTACTTAATTAATTAATTAGTTAATTAACGTTGTAAATGCAAAGAAGTTTTCCAATGAAGAAGAAAAAATATAAAAACAAAAATTAAAAAAATTAATCGCCATCAGTGGATTCTCAAATCTCGATAACGTCGAATCATTCTTTAAAAAGTGGAAACGTCCAATTTTCCTTCTGAGGGATTTTACAAATACTCGAGTTGGAAATCAATCAAGATGAATTATAAAATGTTCCATAGTAAAGTTTAGATATGGGTTCATATACTTTTTATATACCTTTTTAGAATAATTTGTCCACTACATTTACTATAAATGGTACGTTAATTATATATTGCTAACATATAATATACATTTTTTGTGAATATTATTATAGCCTACATGATTTCTCTCTCATATAGAGATTTAGGTATAAAAGGGTAGTTAACACAATCCTATAATAATATTAAATTAAATGTATTGGAATTTATTTGTGCTTAGGACAACAGAATTATCGGACACTTTATTTGTATTCTTAATAGTTTGACAACGATTAAATTCAAAATAATGTTTTACAAGTTTTTAAATTTTTTTTTCTTTTGAAAACATATAAGTTTTTAAATTATATTTTCATGAAGTGAAATCCACCGATAAAAACAAGAGCCAATTACTGGGTGGGGAGACTTGAACTCATAACCTCTTTATCAGAAACATGTAAATTACTGCTGCCTATATATATTCTTCTGTTTTGGGTAACTTTTATTCACTTTTGAAAAAAATCTGTAAATGTTATTTCACATCACTTTTGTAATATACGTACATATATCCCTAGTATGGATGGATGGATAGAGTGATGGACTATTAAAGAGATTCTGAAAGTCAAAAGGAGTCTTATAAAAAGAAAATACACCAAAATAGGGTATTTAATGCAAACATAATTCAAATTTCTAATTATAGTTATAAGGTTAAAAAGCTCATTTATTAAGAGGGTTGAGGAGAGTATACCATATAATAATATTTTTGCAGATGTACTGAGCTGAATTTCTGTGGATAAATGAAGATGGTGGTTGAATTCTTCCAAGATAGGCAAAACAACAAGATGTTTGGGTTCAAATTCTTCACATTCCCTTAAAAAACATTTATATATATGCTCAGTGGGCACATGACATGCCCTACAATCAAAGGGCTTGTGTCCCTTTTGGGTATACCAAAACTTTTGAGAGAGTGACTTTGAAAATGGAGAAATATAAACTATTTTAATCAAGTTGACCCCCACCTCCCTCATTCATCTCCTTACTCCCTTATGTTTTTATTTCATATTTATATATTTCTAAATTGCTTTTATTCTCATCCATACATCATTGGATTAAAGCTTTAATCTTTTATATTTAAGTGACTTAAGTGATATCTTAAACTAATTAATGTTTTATTAGGAACACATTACCCTATCTTAAACTAATTAATGTTTTATTAGGAACACATTACCCTTTTAGATCTCCCCATCGTCAAAATATTGTTGTTCTTTGTTACATTATAAATCAATAATAATGAAATCTAATAAAGGATTTTTTTTAATTTTATTTATGAAATTAATGCTGCAGGTGACTTATTAAAGTTGTATACTCGTTCGGATGATGATATTGCTATATTTGTGAAGTTGTTTTACAAAATGGGCATGGATTAAATTTACGATCATATATAGAAATTATATAAAACTCATTAGAGAATTTAATAGGATCATATATAGAAATTATATAAAACCCATTAGAGAATTTAATATATATCTTAATCGATTCATCCGTTAGACTAGATCCATAATTTTGATAAAGTATGTTCTTGACATTTATTTTCATAATTGGTTTTTTTAGTTTCTAATATAATTTATGTTGTTTTTCTTAGATTGTATGTATGCTCTAATTTTGTTGTTGTCTTTCTTGTCATTTTCGTGCATCATTCTTGATAGATTTCTTTGTTTCTTATGTGTCTTAGTTTCAAAATGTGCTTTTAATTTTAGTCAACGATGACAATATATATTATACGTTTTTTTTTAAAATAGGAAGAAAAAGTTTGGAATATATATAAAAAAAGATTTTTTGGCATTATTTTAAATCATTATTCTCAATGATTTTGAAAAGCGTCGGGAAAAATTAACCTTTTTCCAATCTTTTTTAGCAAACATCGGTAGGTCACTTACTTATCTCGATGTTTTCTATAAAACGCCTGAAAAAGTGGATTTTTCTTGACGTTACGGATTTCGTCGGAAAAAAGAGCCTATCTCAACAACTTTTTGAGCGTTGGCACAAATAACGTTTTGAAAGCCATAAATTCTTGTAGTGAGTGATATATATGAAAGGTTTTGAGTTTGTAGAAGATTCTTTCTTCATCTTGGTCATCCAAATCACCTYTCTTTCGTAAAATTTCTACCGTTTCTCTCAATTGGAGTGCTTTATCTAAGTTTTTTTTTTTATATGTTTCTCATTTACTCTCCTTAGATGAAATGGTTTCTTTTTTGAAAAGAAAGATTTTGAATTTGCATAAATGTCCTAGAGATGAGGCCAAGATAGAATTAATAGAGAGAGATTTATAAAAACTTAAAGCATTACTCTGTTATTTAAGAAAATGAGAGGAAAAAGAAAAGAGAGAGTGAAAAGCAAAGGGAAAAACGCGATTGGGATGTGGCATGGCGATGGCTATCTTCTTCCCTAAAATGAGCAGCAGAAAACAGAGAAGCCATGAGGGAGAGTGGGTGAGATGTCACAGTCATGATGGTTGTGTGTCATCGTTGTTATTCTTTTCTACCAGAAAATTTACTTATAAGAAAACACAGCATTTACTGTTTTGTATGGCCTAAACCACAGTGTTTGAAAGCTCCTTCTTAGCTCACACCATTAAATAACAACCCTCTCCCCCGGGGGACCATCATCATATATCTCCTCCATTTCACCCCTAGCTTTTCATTTCTCATCTCTCTCCACCCTCCTAACCCTATACAAGGGTTTTTAAAGAAAAAAAAAAGTCTCTCTCCTTGTAGCAAAATTATAGGTGGATCACCGTAACTGGAACTCGTTGTTTAAGTTGAACAACACTGTGACAAGTATAAAGCTCAAATACAAGACTTCATGGTGTGGGTGATACCACAAGGTCTTATATTCTTGCCACTGTGCCATCACTGAGGGATGACAGTGAAATTACTTAAAAACCTAAATGGCTAAAAAGATCTTAATTTGTCACTAAAATATGTGGCCTAAAATAACCCATTAGAAAGATCTAATTTTTGTTACTAAAATATGCATGAAAATAAAGCAATGGTAGAGAAACTGCTTAAAAACCCGTTTGAAATATCTAATTGGCTACTAAAATATGCATGAAAATAGAGCAATGGTAGTGAAATGGCCTAAAAACCCATTAGAAAGATCTAATTTTTGTTACTAAAATATGCATGAAAATAGAGCAATAATGAAAAACCCATTAGAAAGATCTTAATTTGTCACTAAAATATGCATGAAAATACAGCAATGAGATTGATGATTTGGTATAGAAGAGTTAACTTCAACATATAGCCAGCATCCTAGTCTTTCTTATACAACTTTTTTTTTCTAATATTTGGAAAATTGAAACAACCTTTACCCTATATTCTATAATAAGAAAAGAAAAAAAAAGAAGCTAATTGGTAGGGTTGGAGTTGATGGGCGGCGCGTGGGAAGGGGGAGATGAATAGGCGCGTGAGGAGTGGGGTTGGAGCACATAGCAGAATCTTTGTTCTAAAAAGGCGACTAGGGATGGATAATGGAGAGGAATATAATTCAGAGGGGAGAATCGTTGGAGGGGTGATTACGTTAATAATTTCGTAGGGAAATAATTTGTTTAATTTAAGGATTATTTATTTATATAATAAAAATAAAAAAAGGGAAATGGTTTTGATGGTAACACTGTTTTGTAGGCGTAGGCTTGCGCTCTCATACGTCGCTGTCAGTCATAAAGTTTGGGGGAAAGCAGAAATCTCTCTCTCTCTCTTGGGCGGGAAAAACATTAATGATGTATAAAAGTAACGAAAAACAAGAGCTATTTTCTCATGTTTCTCTCTCTCTTTTTTTTCCACTTTGTTTCTCTTCTCTCTCCATCACCATTACTACTTCTCTCTCTCTCTCCACCGCCATACCATACTTCATCTTCTTCCACTGTTCTCTCTCTATATTTCTCCTTTTTAATTCCAACCCACTCCCCAGAATTCAATCTCCTCAACTGGGTCTCTCTCCGTTTTCGTTTTCATGGCCGTTGCCCCCTCTGGCTTCTCGATCCGGTAAGCTCCTCGTGTTCATCTTGAAATGAAATTGTTTCAAATATTTCTCAAGTGGGTATGCTTTTGTTGTTGTTGTTGTTAATTTATGTTTTTGGGGGGTTGGGTTTGGTATATAGAGAGTATGCTTTGAATATGAGAGGCAGGGATTTGGGGAGATGCTGGCCGTTCCGTGATAACGTGAAGAAAGAAGTTGCAGAAGCAATCCTCCCACCAATTTCAGTAACTAAATTCCGGTGGTGGTCCCACGAGCTGGAGGCTCTAAAATCATCGAATATTTCTGAAACCGTAACCGCTGCCGCAGCAGCACAAAAGCAAGAAGAGGAGAAAGTAATAATTATGGAGAAGATTTGTCCGGTGTGTGGCGTTTTCGTGACAGCTACTGTCAACGCTATGAACGCTCACATTGATAGCTGTTTAGCCCAAACAATAACCAACCAAAAGCGAAAGAATAATAGTAATGGAGCTGTTAAGCCCAAATCCAGAACCCCGAAAAAGAGATCAATAGCGGAAATCTTCGCAGTTGCTCCGCCTGTTGAAACGGTTGTAGAAGACGGGGGAGGGATAATTCGCCAGAAGCAGCAGCTCAAAGCGACGTCGTTGGCGAGGACTCTTGTAACGGCGATGAAGACGATCAAGGCCAAGAGGAATAAGCAACACAAATTAAAGGCGTCAGTTGTGAAGAACAAGGTACGCGATTAAAGCTCTTTTATTAAGTGTAGGGTTGTGGAAAGTGTAGGCTGCAAATATTCTCTCTATTGGGTTCTTGTTCTTGTTCTTGCCCACCTTTCTTTTTCTGCTCATAATTACTGCTGGAAAAAGCTGGTGAAAAGACTGCATTACGTTGGAGAGAAAAGAGAGAGTATTTTGTCCGTGTGCGGATTAAGCGCGCGGGAATGGGCTGAATCAGAATACGAACGAAAAGGGAAAAAAAAAAGTCACCATAGGAGAAAATTTTCACTTCTTCACAGCATTGTTATCCAATTTAAAACCCATAATTTAAGTGTTTATTAGTTATATCATAATGGGTACTGAACAATTTTTTTCTTTTTTTTTTTTTCACTAGAAGACGGGCTCTATGAACTATGAAGTAGGAAGGTTTTTGAGCTAATTATGGACGTGGGTATTTGTGTGTGGGTGGTAGTGCTCCAGCTGCGAGGGGTACGGCCTTGGCAGCGGGTGACTTTATTTGGTGGAAGATTTTTTGTCCTTTGTTTAACAAATGTATCCTAGGTTAATGATGCTGTTTTTCACCCCTATTTTGCTATATTAATATATCTTTCTTGGTGTTAAATCCAACAAATAATAATTCTAACTTTGAAAAGTAATTTTGGATTGTAGTAGTGAGGATCATTTGGGGTTCTGGGTTTATCTTTGATGGTATCCACATTCGTAGTTGGTGGAGTAAAATCTTTGGGATTATTATACTTGAGTGTGCTGTGAAGTGGGTTTTGACCATCATCTCAATTTAAGGTACCAAGATGTTGACAACTATTTTGACCAATCTGGTAGCTATTAACACATATCCATCCATATGTGTGTATGACAATTTCAACCCATTATCACATGGGCATTATCTCGTAAGATATGCTTCAGTTTAGCTTCACTAATCAGCTACTGAAATGCAAAAGTTGAATCCAATTTTTTTCCACCAACAATCTTTATGAAACGAGAGATCTCATTCTTGTCTTTGTTTTGGAAAGAGGGAAGTTCTTTAAAGAATTGGAACATGGATAATATCCCCATATTTGAGTTACTTTATGATGGTTTCTGGCTTGTGAGTAGGCGGAAATTGAAGGTTGTGGATGAGAGAGTTGAGAGGGTAATCTTTCAGGATAGAGAATTTCATTATTTGTTGTGAATTAGAGGCCCTCCTCAGATTCATGAGTGTGTGTAGTCTTTATCTGCACAATATTCTTTGTCCTTTAACAGATTGTCTTATTTGTTAATTATACTTTTTGTCCTATTGTTCTATATGATCTAAGTTTTTTACCATTGAGAATGGAAGATATAATGGGTTCAGCTGGGTGTAGATTGTTAGATAGAAGATATCATAATTATACTAGCCCAATCCATATGGTATTGTATTTTATAATAACCAAATCAGCGACAAGATTTTGATCTCTATCATATAGAACTATAGACCATAATTAATAAGATTGAAATTTTATGTGTTTATGATGCCAGAAGTTTGTTACTTAAAATTTTACTTGGGAACTTGAGGCTGAGTGCTGCAACCCTACTATAATTTCTCTCTTTTTCCCTTTAAGAGATAAAAATTTAATTAACTAATTTTGAGATACGCTTTCTAAGAAGTAAGATTTAATTTATCAGTTATTCATTGGAATTGGGTAGAAGGGCAATCAGGCGTAGATCATAAATTTCTTATAGTTAACCAGATTTGAAATTTATTTATTTATTCTCTCAAAATAATGCATTATATAATATAGGTTAGTTCAGTAACAAATCAGCTTAATCACTAAAACCAAAATATTTGCATTTTTGCAATTAGTTTGGTAATATTTTGGATATACACTCTTCAAACAACAACATTTGCTTTGCTTATGTTTTCTTTCTAAACAAACGACTGAAATCTGAAGCAACTAGAATTTTCTGTCCACAAAGAATAATATTATAGATTGTATAAGAGCTTTTCATAAGTAATTATTTACCATAATTTGAGCAAAACTTGTTACCAGTTGTGCTTATATCATCGGTATTCTTATTCTCAGAGATTAATTTGATTATCTTTTCTTGTTTTCTTACATTTCATTTAAGATATCTATGAATATAACAAAGTCATTCTTCATTTACTTCCATGTTCACTGATATGATGATTTATTTCGGTTCCTTATTTACATTATAAATTAAGTTATTCCATGCAATCATTCTTTATAAACTAGTTTTACCTTTTTATTTTTGGGTAAAAAACAACCCCATATATTTATATTCTGACAGTTCACTTGTAATTACAGCCATATCATGTCAACTTGATGAAATATTAAAGGAAAGCTTGGAATCTTTATATTTGTTTGTGGATGTTAACTCCCACTAACTTCTGAAATTTCATTGGTCATAGGACTTTGGTCATGAGCTGCTTCGCAAGAAGGGAGAGAGAAATCATAAGGATGTTTCTGTCCGTTGTAAGAAACCATGTTTTAAACGCTTGTCTAGACAAAAAAAGAAAAAACTTGTTAAAAAATCCAACGTACCTGCCAAGCAACAGAGGCCAGTGCCTTCAATCAGGAGCATTCTGAAGCAAAGTGTAAAAGTAGTTTCTGAGACARATCCTTCGGGCAACTTAAAAGGAAGTAAGCAAGTGATCAACAATGGCGGTAAGCAGTCCGATAGGCGTGTTAGCTTCTTTGATAAGGATGATGTTCTTGGTCCAAAGACTAGAGCCTTTTCAGATACCTTTGAACAAAGTGTTGGCAATCCATTTCAAGACTCAGAAGGAAACACTATGTCAGGTGAAAGTAATAAAGGAGTTGCKTCAATGGAGGATGTTGGCTTAAACGACGACATCGTTAGCTTTAGCACTCGACACGGAGTTGATAGTCAACGCATTAAAGGAAAGATTCAGTTGCCTAATATCCATGATCAAGTCAATGCTCAAATTAGTTCAATGAGACCTCATCCTTGTTGGGGCAATATGAAGCATTTAGTCGAAGAACCGATATCTGCGAATCGGGTTGTTCCTCATGAAAGTAATTCGCATTTGTTTGATCATGTCTATATAGATGCACCTCAGAGACCTCCAGTACATTCTGCCATTCCTGCTCTGTTAGCTGCACAAGATGAAAGGCAATATGGCCAAGTAAGAACTCAAYGTGGTTCTAATTTCCCCGGAGCGCATACTTTCAATGGAAAATCAGTTGATCATTTGGTCAATCCTATCAATGGAGTAGCTAACTTAGGTTCAATGACAAGCACAGTGCCCACTTTTACTTTAACTGAAAATGGGGTTGGCAGATTATTTAATTTGGCAGAATCTTCTGCTAAAGACAATAGAGGCCCCTTTCCGAATTTAGAGCAAAGAGCGGTTGCCTACAAAGAGAAGGGCATGAATGATGGATTTTTCTGCCTGCCATTGAACTCAAAAGGTGAACTGATACAGCTCAATTCAGGTTTGGTTAATAGGTATGATCAAATGAATGAAGCCAGAAACAATATGGCCTGTTCTAGCAGGATACCGGTATGCGGTCTTGTCCAGCCAAGAAGCACCCGGGACTATTTCATAGATAATGAAAAGGTTCTCATTGACACAGAACTTACAGAAAACCAGTTGACTTTATTTCCATTGCATAGTATGCAAGAAAATCGAAACCAATATTTGTCAGCTAGATTTGATGTGACTGAGCCTGGAACTTCAGGAGAAACCGATATTAGGCTGCTAAATTCAGAAAGGGGAACTGATTCTGGTAGTCTTTTACATTCAAACTTGATGGATGCCCCATTTAACAGATGCAGGTATTATGGAAAATTGCATAACCAAAATGTAAGTACAGAGATTTATCCTGAAAATTCAAGTACCATGTCGGCAAATCCTGCTCGACAAACAATGCGGTTGATGGGCAAAGATGTAGCTGTTGGTGGCAATGGGAAAGAAGTTCAAGAACCTGAGGGAATAAACTTTTGGAAGAACTCATCCTTAATTGAGAATTGTCTGACCAATTCTATCCAAGAGAATCCCATGAGAAAAAGAAACTTTCTGCAGGATAGAGTGTTGCATTATCCATCAAAAGGAGAAACCTTATTTTATCCTGCAGGCTTTCATAGCGGTCAGGTCGCACAAAGCAATTTATTGCCAAATGCTCCACAAGTTCGGTATCCCCATCCACGCCTCAATCGAAAAAATGGTGTAATGTATCAAAGATCYGACTCTGTTATCAACTTAAACGAAAGGTTCAGCAACATATATGCCTTTTTTCCATCCTCTACGGAAGCGTTTAATATGGCGCCAAACTTTCAAGCACCCTTTATATCTGGTCCCAGAACACTAAGGTTTGGTCCACAGCCACCAGCATTTTCTACTTCTCAACACATGTGCTCAAATAGATACGAACATTCTTTTGAACTTGGCTACAACCAGAATCCACATCCAGCAAAATTAGGAACCTTTAACTTCCCTTTCTTGCAGCCAGATGATGAAAATCACGTCCCTCCCTCTTGGTTACAACAGGACGAGGCACCGACCGCAACTTCTAAACTTGCTGACATAAATGGATGCTATTATCCATTCATTTCTTCGGGTCCAGATGTTCTTACTAGTCCTTCTATGCGTACCCGGCCCGAAGCTGCCTTTCCTTGCAGTACAATGCCATCTCACCGACAGGTGAAGAACATACCTGGCTCAACATCTATTTTTCAGCCAATTCCTGTGACTCCTAGATTTGAAGTTCCATATATTGTCAAGGCAGGCCATGAAAGTAGAATTAGTTGTTTTGAAGACAGATTGAAGTTCAAAACTTTGAGTGTCAAGGACACTGATCTTTTAAGTAAAAAGCAACCTGTGGGTGAGCTCATTGACTCGAGGAAGCGTCAAAAGTTATTGAGTTTAGAAACTAACAATTCCGGCGTCGTGGCAGAGTGGACACCAGGAAAATTCAATGATGAACAACGATCTAACCCAGGGAGCGCGAAAATCCATGGTAACTGGGATAAAGCTGTTAACCCAACAGRAAATCTCCCAAATGTGACTGAAACTGATGGAGTACTGCTGATTTCTCCCACCAATGAATCTCCTAAAGTTGAATCTATGGCAAGATCAGGCCCCGTCAAGTTAACAGCAGGGGCAAAGCACATCTTGAAACCAAGTCAGAGTATGGATCTAGATAATACTAAGCCTACTTATTCAACCATTCCTTCTTCTGGTTTAGTTCATAGTGTTAGCTTGGGAGGATCTCAGAAGAAGTCAACTAAAGTATACAGTTTTTAAAAAGTAAGTATTGTAGTTGTCCTGTAATTTATTTGCTAAATCTAATTATAATCTACTCATGCAATAAGCTAATTGATCTTACCTGCAGGATGCAACAATCTTCTCATCTTTGTAACCACTGACATGAGAGAGTTAGTGTAATTTTGAGACGACCCGTCATTTCGCCGAGACAATGCTGGTTTTGATACTTGGAAGCATGTTTACGAATTGTAACTAATCACATCACTGGAATATAGATTGTGCCATGAGTTTTGGTCTTGTTTTTTATTGTAAGTTTTAGATCAAATCTCTCCACAAGGTCTCTTATGTGACAAAATTACACAAAATGCTTAGATTCACTGTTTTAAAAACGCCTTGTTTTCATAACTGTCCCCCTGGTTCCTGTAATGAATGAGTGAGAAAAACAGTTTATTTTCTTGAGAGCTAAGTTAATTTAGCTAACATATGATGCTGATATATATTCTCGCACAGTCATCTGATATGGTGTTGATTTTGACCACTTTAGCCTCAGTTTCACATCAAAATAGTAAATTTTTAGGGAAGCATTGCATGTTAACTTCAGGAATCCATCACTGTTCTAGAAAACTTGGTTTGATCAGATCTGATGCAGTGATATAAATTGTTACTTGGGCTTTATGATGATATTATTTAGTTGTTTCTTCACTAAAAAACACCACTCATAGTTGAGATTATGAGCGAGAAACCAAACTTTGAACTTTAGAAAGAGTAACAATATTCTATTTATTTCTTATAGTTGAGATAAACAATATTCTATTTATTTCTTATAATCAAATTTTATAAATGCATTTGGTACATTTGTATGTGTATCCTATTGTGTATGTGTAAAAATATATAAGTATATATACATCCATCGTAGATCTCTTGTTATTTATTCTTCTCCTCTTTATATTTGCTTCTGCTTGTTCGTCCCAGATGCCTGCAGAAAATTTTCAATAGTCATCACTTCGAGTAAAGAGAGAGAAAGATCTAGAGAGAGAGAAAGTATGAACTATGTAATTTTTATGTACCTGTAAAGCAGATTTGACAATTTCTTCTAAAGCATCAGCTCCATTTTTATCAATGTAATCATCCACCAACTTCCAGGCATGGAAGATTTTCTTTTCTTCATCTTCTTCTTCCTCGTCCTCGTCCTCATCTTCTTCTTCTTTCTCGTACTCGTCCTCATTTTTGTCTTCTTTTTTCTCCTCCTCCTTCAAATCGTAATTAGCTCTCTCTGTACTCTCAATGTTCAAGAACTTCATGACAATATTCTCGTAAACATAAGCTGAGCCCTTGAAATTAGGCAGCACCAACCACATGAAAAACACCAGCTTTACATAAGGCCAAAGCGGAATCCTGCAACAGTGTAATTTATTCACGTCTCATAGCAGCGAGAAATATTCATGATATATAAGGACAAAATCTAAGCGATTAAAGATTTTTTCAATAAAACTAAATGAAGTATACCATATCATATAATTACTCGTAGACATCAAATATATATATATGATATAAACTCAAGGAGAAAAAATACCAACTTTGGGTTATAAAGCTTATATATAAAAAATGGCATCTACAAATATCCAGTTTTTGGCAAAACCCAATTTGATTAAATTACTTACTTACCATGATGTGATACTCGAGAAATAAAGTTCAAAGAGGGTCAGAAATGAGAGCAAAACCCAATATGTCAGCCACTGTTGATGATCTCGAGATGAAGGCTTCTCCAATGCCCTCGTCGATGCATACCTGTTCTTCAAAATATGTAACCATCAAAAAGAAAAAAAAAATAAAGAGCTTAAGCAAAAGAAAGAGAGAGAGAGAGAGAGGTTTACAGTGGATAGAGAAGCATAATGGCAAATCTGCAGGTGAAGTAAACAGAAATTAATCAAGCATTTATTAACAATGGTCTGTTTTTTGAGCCGAAAACATATATATAATAAGGTTTAAAAAAAGAATCTCAAATCCAAAATACTCCATTTTACAATGTCCATGATTTTAGAGGAAGGAAAAACATTGATCATAAGATTACGTACCCGGTTGCAACATGCAAAATATTAAATGTGGCTCTAAATCCAAGAAAACCCATTTTGCAGACTAACACTTGTATAAGCTAAAAGGACTAATCTCAACTTAGATGATGATAGATTGATTTTTTTTCCCTTTTTTGGTGTGATCGATTTGATAGAAGGAGACAATGAAGGTGTAATTATAATGGGGCAGAATGCAAAATAAAATAAAAAATAAAAAAAATGATGAGAGGGATTCAAATTGAAAGCAAGAAAAGAATAAATGTTAATTTTGGTTTTTGTCGTTAAAAAGGCAGGCCATGTATTATTCTCATATTCTCTCCTTCATCAAGAAATGCAAAATGAAGATAAAAGAAAGGGAAGATGAAACATGATGAAGGAGTTGAAAATAAATTGAAAAGAATTTAGCGGAAATTGATTCAAATCGTCACCTACGTACACACTAGTTGTAGTAGGGTCATTAGCGGAGGAGGTGGTGCACGAAAACTTGTCCGAACATTCACAAATAAAAGATTAAAAAAAAGCCCAAAGTTAGATAACGAATATGATTCATATCCCAAACCACACATTTCTTACACATGAGGTTTATTTCAATCTTCAACACCAAAAAGTAGACAGCTTGGTCGTGCATTATAGATTCTTTATCATATATATTTAATGACCATATAAAATAACTTCTCTTCAAGCCAAAATTTGCTATTAATGTAAATGCTACCTAAAAAGAAATTGTTGTAGAAAAAAGAATTCGAAAAGCATAGGTTTAAACAATTTAAAAAAAAACAATATTTTAAATAATTTATTATTATTATTTTCTTATATATATTTGTAAATTTCCGAGCCAATTTGCACGCACGTCGATTAATCTCACAAAATAACTACTTGACCTTATTATTAATTCTTTGAGTAAATTATTTAAATTATATCAATTTAATATAAGTTGAGTTGAATGTATAGAGGTGAAAAGAGCTTTGAACTTGGGTGGCATAAAATTTTCAGCAAATAATACTAAGAAATATATTTAAACCCTATTTAAATTACAGTATCGAAGGCAATTCAACATAGTTAAAATGGTTAATGCACATATTTCTGACTAAAAAGAATAGCGGGTTGGAATCCCTGTATGTACTAAAAAAAATTACTATTGGTAGATAGAAGATAAATAAGATAAATACCTAAATATTATTCTTCTAAATATATATTTAGCGATTATTTTTTCTAATTTTACTTTAATGAATAAAATGGGTAAATGAGGAGAAGAAAAAAGGAGAAAGAAAAAAGAAAAAAAAAAAAGATGAAAGGGTATAATTGTAATTATGGAGTTATGCTTCGTTACTCTGTCCTCCGTTGCGCGCGTTCCCTCTTGGCTTCGCTGCGCAATCAATCGCTCCCCCTTCGCGATGTTTTACAGTACAGACCGCCACTTTTCCCTCTCTTCCCTCTCACTCTCCCATTCTCTCACCGGAAAACCTAACTGACCGTAATTTCTCCTCCGTCGCCGGAACTTCTACCAGGTCGAGCCTATCCATTCACTGTATGCTCCAAAACTTTCTTCTCAATTTTCTCTCGCTCCCTTTATTCCCCTTCAAGTTGATTGTTCTTTATGATTTTTTCCCTTTTTTTAATTTTTTTTTTTTGGATGGAGCGGAACCCTAACTTTTGCTCCGAGTCCGACTTGAGCGTTGTCCATAATGTGAATATCTATCCGAGATCCATAGGTTTTGAATCGGTCTTGTCGACCCGGTCAGTTTTTGACATATTCGGGTCGGATGGGTTGCGGCCTGCGGGTCCCGGCGGGAAATCTCCAATACCGATCCGGTGAGCCTGTATTGCGTCTTTCCTCTTAAGATTGACTTCAATGAAGGCCGACCCGCTTCTTCTGTGGTTTATTTAACGATTTTTTCCCTCTCGTTGCCTGTTCTGGGTCTCGTTTCGGACCCGACGAATGATCATAGAATCCGTATGAGCTGACGACGCCTGTTTAAGATATTGTCAATCTCTGTGTCTCTCTACTTTCGCACTCTAGTTAATGTGAACATATCAACTTGTCCTCTCCTTAACGAAATTTAGAATAATTCAGAGATGATTGTCGGAGGAATATAATTTAATTTTCTTTTAACTTTTTGGGTATTGTCCTATCATGTTTTGCATGTTGAGTTTGATCATGGTGTGGGAATACCCAACGACTGTTGTCTCAACGAATGTCATTAGCATAGGGATAGTGGGATTTTGTCATTATTGTTCAAGGTCCTGTGTTTTGGTTTGGGAAAGAGAGGAGTTCGGTGAAGAACGTGATATAACTATTTTCGTTCCCGTTCTTTTCAGTAAGTTTCTTATTCCAGCCATCTTCTTTTCCTTCTTTGCGCTGCTGTTGAGAGGCTGTAGATATTTAGAAGTGTCATTCTACAACTATGTTTTATGGTGTTTGAGCTATTCTGGGGTTGTATGATCTATTTTGTTGGTTTCAAAATTCAATTGGTCTAGGTTGAAACACATTTTAACTCTTTTTAATCATGTTTAACATGCAGCGTTTGGTGGGGAAAGTCGTGCTGATGTAATGATGGATGTGTCGGAGGCAGTAATAGTAAAATCTAGCAGATTGAAATCGGTTGTGTGGAACGATTTTGATAGAATAAAAAAGGGTGACACCTTTGTTGCTGTATGTAGGCATTGTAAGAAGAAACTCAGTGGATCAAGTACCAGTGGAACTTCTCATTTGAGGAATCACTTAGTTAGGTGTCAGAGAAGATCTAATCATGGTATATCTCAATTTATTACATCCAGGGAAAAGAAAAAGGAAGCAACACTGGCTATTACTAATTATGTTGATCAGGGTCAGAAAAAGGAAGATGTTCTGAATCTTGTTAATATTAGATTTGATCCGGAGCAAGTGAAAGATGAAACAAATAATACTATGAGTTACAATTTTGATCAGCGGCGAAGTCAATTTGATCTTGCACGTATGATCATCTTGCATGGTTATCCATTGGGCATGGTAGAGCATGTTGGGTTCAGAGTATTTGTTAAAAATTTGCAGCCTTTGTTCGAACTTGTAACATGCAATAGAGTTGAGGCTGATTGTTTGGAGATATATGTCAAAGAAAAACAAAAGGTGAGTGAGTTATTGGATAAATTGCCTGGAAAAATCAGCCTCAGTGCCGATTATATGTGGATAGTCTCAGATAATTCGGAATCTAAATACCTGTGTCTGACAGCCCACTACATTGATGAGTCCTGGCAGTTAAATAAGAAGGTTTTGAACTTTATGTTTGTTGATCCTTCTCACACTGAAGATTTGCAACCAGAAACTATCATGACATGTCTAATGGATTGGGATATTGATCGGAAGTTATTTTCAATGACATTTGATTGTTCCTCTACCAGTGACTATGTATCGTTGCGAATCAGAGACAGACTATCACAGAACAGGTTCCTATATTGTAATGGTCAATTATTTGATGTCAGCTGTGCGGTAGATCTTCTCAATTTGATGGCTCAAGATGCTTTGGAATCATTATGCAGCATTCTCCCTAAAATTCGTGACAGTATTCAATACATTAAACAGTCTCAAGAAGTGCAAGCTAAGTTCAATGAGATTGCCGAACAAGTTAAAGTTAAGAGCCAAAAAGGTCTTTCTGTGGACAACCCATCTCAATGGAACTCAACTTATGCGATGCTTGGAGCAGCTGTAGATTATCGAGAAGCATTTTCCATTTTGCAGGAAAGTGACCCTGGCTACACAGCATGCCCATCTGAAGAAGAATGGGGTAGTACTTGTGCAATTACTGGCTTTTTGAAGTTCTTTTTCGAAGTGACTAATGTTTTAACGAAGAGCAACTTTCCAACCGCAAATATATTCTTCCCTGAGCTCTGTGACGTGCACTTGCAGTTGACGGAATGGTCCAAGAATTCAGACGATTTTATCAAGGCTTTGGCATCTAAGATGCGGAGCAAGTTTGAAGAATATTGGGATAAATGTGGATTGACTCTTGCGGTTTCTGCCATGTTAGATCCTCGGTTCAAAATGAAACTAGTAGAATACTATTATCCACAAATATATTGTGTTGTGGCTCAACAGAGGATTGATGATGTTATCAACTGCGTGAAGGCGCTTTACAACGAACATTCAATCTGTTCGCCATTAGCTTCCATCGATCAAGGTCTTGCCTGGCAAGTTGGCAGTAGTTCTGGCTGTTTGCCTGGTTCCGGAAAGGATGCGAGGGATAGATTAATGGGTTTTGACAAATTTCTCCATGAATCCTCCCAGAGTGAAGGCACAAAGTCAGATTTGGACAAGTACCTTGAGGAGCCTCTGTTTCCTCGGAATGTGGACTTCAATGTGTTGAACTGGTGGAAAGTTCACACTCCCAGATACCCAATTTTGTCCATGATGGCTCGTAATGTGTTGGGAATTCCCATGTCAAAAGTTGCAGCAGATTCTGCATTCAGGACCGGAAGAAGAAGAATGCTTGGTCGAGACTGGAGCAAATTGAAACCAGCCACAATTCAAGCATTGGTATGTTCACAGGACTGGATACGGAGTGAACTAGAGAGCTAATTTCGTCGCATAACGAGTCTGTCAATATTTATTCATTTTTGTCAACCTTCCCTTTCCATTTCCTTTATTTGTACTTCAGTTATGGCCATGTCCTCGTATGTGGTTTGTTCAACTGGCGGAATCTTTTGCAGTCTTGCATTATTATTAGCAAGCCCCACTCGGTCTTAATCATGGAATTGTTTCTCCAATTGAAACCTAATAAGGTGCTGTTTGGTACATAGTTGACTTCTTTTGTAGCTGGGGTTGTCACGATTTGCTGAAACGAAATAACAGATGGGACCGACTTAAAGGTGTACGTAGGAGAGATCTCACATCTTTATTAGTTAATAATAGCATGCGTAAGTTAATTCGAACACTCACATATATAAAAATAATAGTGATTATTGCAAATTTCATTGGGCAGTTTACTTATATTATCAATCATATTCTTTCTAACCTTCTAAAAATAGTTTCATACACCTATGATTTGTAAAATCTAGTAACTTTAATCGTCAATCTTAATTTATCATCATTTTCTTATTGAATTGGTATTTTTATTTCAATTAAAATTTGTAATAGTTAGCTTATCAGTTCTATTAAAACTATATGAGCCTTTTGACTTCTAAAAGAACTTCATGGTTAAATTATTCTTAAGCTGACAACAATCCTACATGCTTAAGCGGACAACAATTTCACAAAAATTAAAAATTAGAAGAGTATGGTTTATCAATTTTCACAGATAAAGATATTATTAGTATAATTGAATTGACTTGTTTAGCAATAGTTTAAATCAGATTGGATTTATTAAATATCAGTTTCAATTGATTTCTTGTTCACTTATTCTACCAAGCTCTTGTGCTTCGAAAAATTAGGGCTTGTTAGTTTTAAGGTGGGTTCGGGAGCGCTCCAGTAAAAATACAATTATAAAAACTAGTGAAAAGTATTTAATAACAATACTCTTAAAATGCTTTTCAATGTATCTCAGAAAAAAAAAAGGGAAAGGAAAAAAGATCTCAATACTTTCCGATCAAGTTAATAGATAAATTAGTTCAACTGAAGAACCCGATATTTTTATTTGAGGTCACAGAAATGGCTGAAACAAGGATCGAATGATACAATCAATAGTAAAGAATTATTAAGCATATAATTTGAAGCAGGTGACAAGCTCAGTTTGCAATAATAAAACTGATTAACAATCAATATCACGTAAATGTTGTAACCCAAGCAACCAAATCAAAAAATTAAACTCATAAACTTCATTAATGGCCAAAAAGCAAAACATTAAACTCATAAAACTTCATTAGAAGGCTGCACATAGAGAGAAGAAAGAGAGAGGGAGGGAGAGAACAAGTGCGTCTCTCATTTCTGACCTAAACAACTGAAAGTATCTCAATCTGTAGCAAAGCTTTTCTTGTTGGGCTCAAATACGTACTTTATCAGTGAGTCCTTGATTGACAGCAGATCAGGGAACTCATTTTTCAACTTAGAGGCATCCAGTTCGTTGTTGCTCCTAGCGCCTATAATTTTGGCTTGCTCTTCCAAACTAAAATTTCCCCATTTGAAGTCGGGTCTAATGTATTTCTTATACATATTTAGAATCTCATTATGACTCACAGCACCAGGGTTTGTGAAATTCCATATGCCTCTGAGGTTCCTTTTGGCCATCTCTATTGAGATTGGTAGAAGCTCATCCAAAACAGTGATGCTGTTGGGAATATCTACCACTTTGTCATATTTTGCGATCTTTGTGATGAAGTTACGTGGATTGCTCAAATCGGATGATACCGGCATTCGGATTCTGAGGGTGCAAACATTGTCATATTCTTGCAAAAGCTCCTCAACCTGGAAAAAAATTGATTCAGAAGACAGCCAAATGAAAATCATTGTTTAGAAGGGAAAAAAAATAAGGGAAAGAGAGTTACCGTGGCATTAGTTCTGGAGTAGAAAGAGCCAGAAAAGTTAGGCTTATCCTCCTCCTTAAATCCAATCCCGGACCCAAGTGGATGAGCAATATCATACTCGAAAACGCAACCAGTGGCATAATTCACCAGTGGGAGGCCATGTTCTCTACATACGTCTGCCAAAGTTAACGTGCCAACAACATTGGTCCTTATTGTCTCCGATTTGTGAGTTTCACACCAGTCCACATTGGGTCTACCAGTTATCCCTGCAGCATTGAAAACATGAGTTGGTTTAACCATCTGAATATCAGCTACAAGCTGTGATCGCTCCTCCAGACGACCTCTTCCATACTCAAAGTTTATCCCTTGCTTCTCACAAATCTTTCCCAGAACACCACCAATCCATCCAGTTTTACCGTAAATGAGGAACTTGAGTTTTGGCTTCGGAGTAGAGTGAATGCTCTTTGAAGTAGGAACTATCATCCCATTTTGAGTAGAACTATCTGGTGTGAAAGAAGCAGCAGAATTGTTAATTTCCGGCCCATCTGATCTTCGTTCAATACCGGGAATCATCAGCATCCTTGGATGAGGGACAAGTGCCCCTGATACATCTCCCCACCAGTCAGGATTTTCAGCATACCAATCCATCGTCTTTCTTAGACCCTCTTCCCATGATGTCCTCTCGAACCACCCTAACTTTTTAAGCTTTTGATCATCCAAGTAGTATCTCTGGTCGTTGAATGGCCTGTTTTCTACAAATTTAATATGAGCATCTGCATTCAGAGAGAAAAGGCTGCAAATCTCCTTGGCTACATCAATCACTCTTCTTTCTTTCTTCGTTCCAATGTTGTAGACATGTCCTAGTTCACCCCTGTGGAGAACGACTTCAAATGCCTCGGCAACGTCTTCACAGTAGAGGTAACTCCTAACATTTGATCCATCTCCATGAATGGGAAGAATCTTCCCTTTCATGGCCAATAACATCATTTTTGGGATCAACTTTTCTGGGAATTGGTTGGGGCCATAAACGTTGTTACCTCTTGTAGTTATCACGGGTAAACCATATGATCGCCCATATGCCATAACAAGCATTTCTGCCCCAGCTTTAGTTGCAGAGTAGGGGTTTGTGGGGAGTAGCTGAGAAGCCTCATGGTTCCCCTCTAAGGCATCTTCTTCTGTCTCTCCGTAGACTTCATCTGTGCTGACATGAATAAACCTCCTGATCCGACCATTGTTTTTGCAGGCTTCTAGGAGGACATGGGTGCCATAAATGTTGTTTTTGGTGAACTCAAAGCTATTGCCGAAGGAGTTGTCAACATGTGTCTGGGCAGCAAAGTGCATTATAGTATCAATAGATTCCGTTAGGATGATATAGTTAACAAGGTCGGCGCTGCCAATATCTCCCTTGATGAACTTGAAGTTGGGAGATGATCTAGATGGATTCAAATTATTCAAGTTTGAACAGTAATCAAGCTTGTCAAGGACAACAATTTTGTAATCTGGGTAATTTCTGGTGAGCCTGTTGCAGACATGGGATGCAATGAATCCAGCCGCTCCGGTAATAAGGATGCTCTTTGGTTTATAGGTGGCCTCCATATTTTATGAATTCTGCATTCAGAATTAGACTCAGGGATAAGTCAAGAAAAGAAAAATCTTCGAAGCAGTAAAAATTAAAAAGTGAAAAACTAAGGAAAGCCATATAATCCATATTCCATATTGATTCTTACTGAAGCTATTTCTGTTAGCCTACGAAATTGAATAGCAACAGCTCTACTTCAGTTAACTAAGTAGACGTTTGTGCACATGGGCAGTAATGATCATGCATCTGACTTGTATTAAGATCCTAAAACGACGAGCAGCCAAAAAATGCAGAGAAAGAAAAAATACAGCAACGGCAAGCGAGTAAAATCATGAAAGCAAAGCAAGCCGAAACACCAGAAAATACATAATACGAGTACATAACTGATAAACCTTATCGAGTATTACTGATTTATATTGAGCAGCATATGAAGTCTAATAGAGAGAAGCTACAAGACGATGGCCACTTCCAAGAGAATAAAGCACAAGTCAATCTCAGCAATCAGAAATCAACGAAAACTTAGGCGGAATCCGCACAAATCCCACAGGTAAACCAGAACTCCAACACTTGATCACTGCTCCGTAAACGGAGAGAAATTCGACTCAAACTACCAACAAAAACTGTGTAGGCCAGTACTTGACAAATTTTTCTCCTAGGAAATGCAAATAAAACAGTGAAAATCAACCGCATTGTTCCTATGACTGTAAAACAAAACAAAATTACAGATAGAGAGAGAGAAAGATATACCGTAACAATTGAAATCCTGCAGAAGGAATGGAGGAAGAAGGAACAGTTTCGATCGAGAGAGTAGATATGAAACTGAACAAGGTGGTATCAGAACGTCAGAGCGCGCCCCTTTTTAAAAGCGGTTCGTTTCGGAGGAAATTTATTATTATTATTTTCTAAATAAATTTTCCATTTTTACTCCGGTTACAGTGGCGTGACAAGGAGCACGAAAATGACCAGTAAGATTGTGCCACCTACCTCCCTTCGACTGGATTTTGTAGATCGTCTTTTTTTTTTTTTTAATATTTAACCATTGTGAGGTCAGGACCGAACTTTTAATAAGATAATTCGTAGAACTATACTCAAGTTTTGCACCGGTAATATGACAAGTTTGGCTAGAGTAATTTGAATCATTCAGTCATTTTAACGAATTTGGCAAGAGTAATATGAATCTACCAATCATGTAATTCATGTAATTCGTACTCTATTTTATTTTAACGAAACATGTCGCATATGTTCTATACACGTGTCTTGTCTTTTTCATTCACTTGTTGCGAATCTACTAGTCTCTTAAATTTATATTTGTGAGAAACTTTCACACTTTAAAAATATCACAACTTTTTGTTTTGTAGATATAGTATAAATATGATAGGTATGAATGAAATTTTGACAATTCTTTTCAACATCTACAATTTCGTTTTACATAAAATAATTTTAAAATATTTTAGAAATAAAAAAAAAATTCTATACACATTTATGATAACTCAAGAACATATCATCAAGTTAATATGAGATAAAATATCATATTTCACCAAGATTATTATTATATAAATTTCAATATAGTATAAATAGTTAAACATCATTATTATATTATAGGTATTAAACTACCACACCTAACTTTCTAAGTGGATGGATTACGTTTAAATTATGATCTCTTTTTATATTTTACTATATGATTTATTTTTGCCGGTTGGTTTGTGTAGCCATAAATAATCCTATATATAGATATATTTTTAATTCAGTGAGGTGACACCAAAAGGGTGTGGCCCACCAAATTGAGAGTTGGGATTTAGAAGTATATGTATATGGTGCGTGTGACGAATAAATGTGGTCACGTTTTTTTCGTGGGAGCATGGCCATGCTGAATCTCTCACACGTGATTCTCCCAACGTCTGCTCTTTATTTCATGGAGGAAATGAAGAAAATTCCAAGGTTATGACTCATATTCATTATGTCTTCAACTAAAATAATTAATAATTAATTATATTTTATTTTGTCCCATTTTTTTTATCATGATTCTGGTGGCTATATATATATTAATGAAATAGGAGGCGAGATTCTAAAAACGGAAAATATATGATCTTCTATTTGGAATTGGAGTTGTTTAAGATTGCGTTGGAAATAATTACGGAAATCTGGAAAAAGAAATTAGAAGTAACTAACAAAATCAAGAAGTCATATCTGCATTTGATATTTTTGGCCTTTTTTTTTTTTTTTTTGAACTTCTGATATTAGTGCTTTGTAATTTGTAAATATGGCACCAACTCAAATTTTCCCTTCCAAAAGTTCTGAAGGCCCAGAAAGTAGATAAGATGAAAGTTGTGTCCAATTCTGGCCCATTAATATTCACATTCAAAAGCCCCGAAGGCCCACGAAGTAGATATGATGAAAGTTGAGCCCATTTCAGGCCCATTAATAATTTCAGAAGCTTTGTTGCCGGGAAAATTGCAACCATCGAGTACGGACTTCGCAACTCTACAGTCTATCGAGCTCTCCGAGAATGATTCCAGTTTTATAGTTTAATCAATTCCGGTACGTTTTCTTGTTCGTTTTCTGAATTTGAGGAGTTCTTTATTAAGTATCCGTATTGGTTAATGAGAATGGAAAGGGAAACAAGAACCGATAATCTTTGTTCTTTGTCGCCATTTTGTTTTCAATCGGCTGTAAAGTGTAAGTTGTGCTGCTAAGCTTGTATTAGTCCCGAGGGGAGAGAAATGAGATTTTATGTCTGGTATAAGAGAAATGCCTTCAAGAACAAGAGTTGGCGCGATGGAGATTATGCGCCTAATGTTTCATTAGAAACTGCAATGGAAGAAAC